TATTTCAATTGCGGGCATGTGCATAAGTCAATTTTTTTTTGTTTGCCATTACCTATTCTCAATGTTGTTTGTTGCCCCTTTCCTTTCTTTTTTTCTCGGCCCTTTTACTCTGGCTACCTTTTGCGTTGCATGTTCTTTGTGGCTGCTGTGAAAAGTTGGGTGTTAATTACGGGCGAAGCCTAGAAATGGACCCTGATCAATCATAGGCATAGTGGACCATTTTACCACCGTTTCTGCACTAAAACTGATCGATAACGTTGTTTTTTGATTTACAACGTTGGAATGTCGTCAATATCTAAACCTGACCATTGTACGGAAAGGCCTAACCTAGTTCTACTATCTGCTTATCAAGAATATCTGATGACATTTAAATTGATGACGTCACAAGTGGTACAAAGAGCACAACCATTAATTATGCGTATATGCATCATTGGTATTCAAAGGGTTAAACACAGTGACAGGATAAGACACTTTTACTCTCAAAGTTTTTACTCTCAAAATATCAACTACAACACAATACTTCACAAAAGTTCATTATTAGCCCTTCCTAAGGATAGGTCGGATAGGGAGGTAGGAAAGAAGAGGAAGGAAGGAAGGAAGGAAGGTATTTTTGCTGCTTTCCTCTCCCTGACTGTAACTTTTCTTCTCTTAATTCCCCCCTTTCCGCCTACTTCCCCACACCAAAACACCTAATAATGATCCTGAAATTGTATTGTACTTCATTTGCAATTACATATATGCAGAATAATTAACAATTTTTAACCAAGTAGAAAAAAATTAATTGTGAAGAATGCTAAAAAGACTTGTAACCTCACTAGCAAGGCAGGATGTATAACCATAAAAATGGCTGTGATATTGAGCCAAAGCCATGGAAAAGGAACAAACCCTTTGACTCAAACACCAATTTTATATTTTGATGTACCCTACATAAAGTAAACATTATTTTATTAATGACTATGGTCCACTGACTTGGTATTCTCTATCATGGATGCGATCAGTTCCCACCTTCTCTATTCTGATCTTTGCACTGATTGTACTGATGTAAGCTAAAGAGAGTTCCAACCGTTCTACCAACTTGCACTTTCTTTGTTTCAATTTTGAAGTCATCATTGTTATGAAAATTGTTCTTGTAAGCCACCGCAATTAAACGATTTGAGTCATTAACCAGTGGGCTTGCTATATATTCATCCAACTACAAAAGAGAACAATAATATTAGGTAAAACTATGTTAATGGTGGAAGTTAGTAGAGAAACTGACAGCAGGGAAATAATCAGGGGGTCCCTATATGACACATGACAACAGAAATGAGAAAGCATGTAAAACCTTTAAGGTACCACCTAAGGGGTTCACACATGTAGTTTTTATGGAACCTTTTAAATTTTTATCCATAGCACCTGTAGAAGATTTGCTTTTTAAAGTGAAGAATTGATCAATGCTGACAATTTCACTTTCATGTAATGTCATTATATCATTTTCATACTCTTTTCTATCAAAAAATGTAAAGCTCATGTGCAGGTGTATTTTAGCAAGTGACATGACTTTGCACAATCATCTCCAATTTTGCCCTATTAAGGTGGCTTACTACAGTTTTGATGGATTATAACAGCCCAACTTCTAACTCTTTCCAAAAATGCCCCAAAATGTTTTTCCTTTCTCTATTTACTGTTTGCTTAAGTCTTTTACCATTCTAGGTGAAACTCGAACAGTTTAAACCTCAATAAATGGCCAAAATGAATGACCAAGTACCTCAGGAGAGACTGGGCACTAGTAGGTTAAATCACGTTTTTCTCAAAATTCACCTGTATGACCCCATCTCAAAATTTCAGGAATAAGAAATTGGCTCTGATTTAACATTCATGCAACGTAAAATAAAAATCTGCAAAAGAGATCTTTCAGAAACTAAGAAAATGTGAAATCAAAAATAGCTTAAAATCTGTCTTACAGATTTTTTTAAAAAATTTGGCTCTAAATGCGATTCACCCCTAAAATCAACCATGAAAATTTCATCATGGGTTGTACGGTAGGTTTTCGAGCAATCCTTCATGAAAGA